AGTAATATCCATCTCGTGCACCCGTTTAAATATCTCGGGTCCCCCGTCTAGCTTCTTATATTTCATATTTTCCACACACACTTCATTTTTAATGAGGAATAAACAGTTATCTTTTTTTTGTTACAAGTTGTGAAAGCAATCTAACCATAAGCGAAAAATACACCTGGAAAATTTATATGGGACAAAAGCTGGACATTTTTCTTCATTAAAACGTGAACGGAGCGAAGAGTTTGTAACGTTACAAACAACAGAGTTATCTAGTTTCGTCATCGTTATGTTTTCTCGTTATAATGAGTAACTGCTCGAGCGAGATGAGTAACGCACGAGTGGGTGAAAATTAGCTCAATTAAAAAGCAGAGCTTTAAAGAGATTAATTAAAAATAATCAAGCATACTTGTTGCATAATTTGACGTATTTATACTGGAAGGAACTAGAGACGGGTGAGAAAGATGGGATGTGCTCTAAAAAGCTGTATAAGATACAATGTGAAATTCGGCGTGATTCCTTTTGGGAAAATGGAAAATTAGGATTTGACATTAAATCAAAAGGAACTAAGCAACAAAATGTGCTAAGTCATGAGCCATGGGTAAGTTACAGCAGCGTTGTGGACAAGGCCCATGACTTGAATGGCGTCAACTTGAATCTCTTCGTCCCTGTCCTCGCCGCTGACGTCACTGTCGCTTCCCATTCATTCTTACGGCCGTCTTTTTAACAAGCAAACTCCCTCTGTTCCACTCATCTCGATCTGGTTCCTTTTAGCATAAATACGTCCAATTAATTAGTAAAAGTATGTCCCAGTGGAAAATAAAGAGCGAAAAGTTCATGCCAAGACAAAAAATATCACAAGCACACCAACCAGCATCCCACTTTTTGCCCATTTCTTACGTGCGAGAGCTTACATCGGTATACTCAATTCCTCGCTTTTTCTCCGGTCCAAGGCAGTCGAAACGGAACGAAAAACAGGAGGAACATAAAGAATCATAGTTGTCGGAGTAGCGGAAATGAGGAGGGGAGGGGGAGTCGGTCGGCTGGTGCACCGCTGATAACGGCGTGATTCTGACAAATATGAGATCACAGTAACGAACTCACACCCCCATAATTCCCACCCCCGCGTTGCCCACCCCCGCAAGATGCCGGGCAGCCGCGGAGAGTCTATGTTTTCCGTCCACGGTGATCGCACCGAAAGTGCGACTTGGCGACTTCGGCAGTTGGCATCTTAATGTCTTCATTTATTATCGGTGCCCGCTCCGAGAGAAACAGTGACGCGAGCTTTCTACGAGTAGGCGTCCATTTCAGTGGCGTGGCGTGCTTTGCGATAAATCGGCTGTTCTGTCATTTAAACCTATGGTAAATGATCGATAAACAGGGTGTTTGCAACGAACGCTTTAATAATCGATTCTTTACCATAGCTTCAAATGCAGAAATTTCGATAATCGAGCATTCGCGCCTCGCCGTTGGTCCATTTTATCGCGGATCTCATGACGAGTGGACTCCTCACGAATCGTTGTCACGGCGTAACTTGTAACTACTCGAAAACCGATCAGCGCAATCATTTGAAACTCCTTCATTTCGTTGAGTATGCAATTTGATCTCGTGAGAGTTAAAATAGTTGCATCAAGTCCAAGTGAACATCCGCGCCCACCGACCAAATTGTCGGGCAAATTGAAGCACTCTTCCGTCTAGAAATAGATGAAGGACTCGTGGTTTTATTATCACACAATTACAAAGCTTAAAAATTAAGATGTCAGCGATCACACTTGAAGAGTCGTGATTGGCCAGTGATGCGATTTCGGGTCATCGGTGACCTTTCAGATTGTCCTCAATTTGACCGTGTACGAGAGCCTTGCAGGTATTCTCCCACAATGCATTGCTGCATTGTGCATGTCCCTCCTGTATTTCGTTCCGTTTCGACTGCCTTGGACCGCAGAAAAAGCGAGGAGTTGAGTCTCCCGATGTAAGCTCTTGCACGTAAGAAATGGGCAAAAAGTGGGATGCTGGTTGGTGTGCTGGTGATATTTTTTGTCTCGGTATGAACTTTTTGCTCTTTTTGCCAGGGCCGGATTTTCCTACTTGCCGCCCATGGGCCGCCTGTACGAGGTCTGTTAGATTAGAAACCGGATTTTGGTCATAACTAGCCCACAATGCGTCCGAATTAGGTTTTCTTGAGCTTTTCTGATAGCTGGAAATATACTTAAGAACGCTACGTTCACAGATTTTGTTTATTTTGATCAGTGTTTATTCTGTGTCATCTTGAATACGAGTAAGTCAGGTGCGTTTTGCGATTTTCATCATGCGATCACTGATAGAGCAAAGATTCAACATTAAATTTTCTCGGTATACCTCGTACCGAAACTTTTGGTATATGCTAAGTAAATTTTACCATGATCATTGTATGAGATGTTCCCACTGTTTTGAATGGGTTAAACGATTCAAAACTGGTCAGGAGTTCGTCAAAGATGAGGAGCATGGGAATCGACCCTAAACGGCAACTGACATTTGTCACGTGGAAGAAGTGCGGGAAAAGTGCTCGAAAATGGTCGTTTCCCGCTTGTTGAACAGAGTAATATTTCTGAGGGCTCTGTCCATACAATTTTGATAGAATATGTAGACACGCATCGAGTTTCAGGTAGGTACACTTGAACCTTGATTGTTGTCCGTTGAACGAAAATCCAACAAAATGTCAATTTCCCTTTAGCTGCTTGAACGTTTTGACAATGATCCTACATTTTTGGATAGGAAAATTTTCGGTGACAATACTTTAGTGTACGGCTACGATGTGGAGACGAAACTCCAATCGTCCTTGTGGGTTGAAAAATGTAGTGCAAGACCGAAAAAAGAGAGACAAGTTCGGTCAAACATAAAAATCGCAAAACATTCTTGAGGTTGCCTTACTTCAAGCCACATACCAACGAAGCTAATTAGGATTTTTCAAATTTGTGAACGTAGCGTTCTTAAATATATTTTCAGCTATCAGAAAAGCTCAAGAAAACGGAATTTGGACGCATTGTGGGCTAGTTGTGACCAAAATCCGGTTTCTAATCTAACAGACCCCGTATTTTGCCGCCTCCTCTTCATTCGTTTTGAAACATCAATAAAAACCATCAAGTGAACGTGCGAGCGGGGGAAGGGTGCATAAGACGCGTTTACTCGTGTTGAAAACATTTTTTGGGAATGCCCTGCCAACACTACCAGCAAAAATTCGCCGAACTTTGCGCAAACGTTAAGTTTCGTAAACCTATCTCTGCGTGGACAAAGCCTTCCATTCATAAGAAATGAAGAAAAATTTATGAAAGAAAAAACACAAAAGGTTTAATGATTTTTACTTCCGCCGCCGCGCCGCGCCGACCGCACCGTGTTTGGCGCAATGAGTGAAGTATTCACTCAGTCTTGTAGGCACTATGCGTTTCACGCTGACCGCGCTGTGTTTGGCGCAATGCGTGAAGTATTCATGAATTCTTGTAGGCGCTATCCGTTTCACTGATCCGGTAAACTGATTATTTTGAAGAGGGTTTCTCTAAGGTGGTGTGGAAAGAGTTCCATTGATCAACCAGCTACTAGTATAGCGGTTAGCTGGAAGTCGTGAGATTGCCTCCCGAAATGTTCTGTATCGAACATGCTACGTTTATTGGAGAAAAATTATACGACGGAGAAAATATATACCAATCTGATTGAGTGAAAATTGATGCATAATATAGTCAATTGTAACAGATGGAGCAATGATCGCATTCGATATGTGGGATCTTATCGATATCGGTTGGTTCAAAATGTAAACATATCCTCAAAAGTCAGTTTAAAATCTGAGGGAACGGGTATTTTGTGATTGATTTTTCATTCTTTCGAGTACTAGATGGCAATGAAAAGTGAAATTTTTAGAAAAATTCTCATTTCCAGAATTTCCAACTTAAATCCTACAGTTTTTGTTTGAAATTAAGTTCTATTGTTTTGAACTAAACTTTACGTCAAACCACAGTCGAATACGAGCCATATGATGCACTTGTGACGTCATGTGAGCCGCCGAAGAGCGGAAGATTGCGAGTTCTCGCCTCGCGACATCGCGCCTTCAATTTTTCAGATGCACCACGGACATCCATCTGATCATAAGCCATGAACTCTCGAGTTATAAAATTCATATCACCTTAAAGATTGATGAGTTTAAGAGCCGTGGGACTCTTTATCAATCGTAGAAACATTATTCATCCTTGAAAAACGGAAAATGAATAACAGAATAAACCCATAAACTTAGAGAAGGCGCATTTCTTTGTGCTGTTTTGAAGATGTGCTGCGATCAAATTAATCACGTTCTAACAATTCGTTGAAATTTTTGTTATCTTATTACAAGTACCAGAACTATTATGCTACAGTACAAAGTTAGGGAACGAAGAGTCGAAGTGAAATAATTCTTGGTTACAAAAAACCGATAAGAGAACATGACATATTCGAAACTATTGCTTTGAAAAGAAATATAGACGTGACGCTATAGCTACCCACGGAATTTTCGTGATTGCATGAGACGCTGAAATAGAGGCTACTTCAGACGTCCAAGAATGCCGCCCCATCGATGATAACGCCTGGATGCAACTATTTGCGCTCCATAGTTAATCGCGTTAAATACTGCCGTACTAAGGAAAAACGCATTATGAGCTTTCAGACGTTGCCAAATTTCCGTTGATAAAATATTAATTTTCAGGAAAATCTTTGAATATTTTTCCTCCAATTTTTCAGATAAGTTTGTTCACTATCAGATCTAAATTATCTGAAAATTTGGAGGTAAAATATGCATAACCTTCCTCAAAATTTAAAATTTTACCTGGAGAAATTTAGCAACTCTCGAATGTTCATACGACGTTTCCTCTTAGCACGGTAGAATACCAAAAAAAGTCGAGACCGGACTGTCAATAAAATAACTTTTTCACGATGCCATTCGCAATTTTATGCGATTTGCCAGAACTGTTCCGCACAAATGTGTACAATTCATGAGCTTGATAGGTTTGTGGACTCACCCTGCGAAGTATTTGGCAGTTTTGGCGCGGATGATGTCACCAATGAGGGCGAAGTCGGGCATGGTTGATGAGTCCCAACTCTACGAGATTCGGAGTAGAGCGATAGGGTATCCGCCGGTGGAGAGGGCTCAGTTGAAAACGCGGCCGTCCTGGACAGTAGCGGCGCGAATAAACCCGGACGAACTCAAACTCCAAAGCTCCATTTTGGTCCTGAAACAAATAAAAAAAAACCATGATTCCAGAGAGGGAATATTTTCTTCATCAGATAAAACAATAAGGTGATCATATGGACTACATTTTGCAATTAGGAACTACAGTTTCTGGCTCATCCGTGAAAGTACCTTTGTCAATACTGCCATGCTAAGGAAGAACGCCGTATGAAAATCCGAAAGTTGCTAAATTTCCCTTGATACAACATGCATTTTTAACAACATTTATGCATGTATTTCCCTGAAATTTTTAGATTTTTTAGATTAAATTGCGTGCAAAATTGTCTGAAAATTTCGGAAAATAATACACGCAATTTTCGCAGTAATTTCAGTTTTTATCGGAGGAAACTTGGCAACGTCTGAAGGCTCATACGGCGTTCTTCCTCAGCACGGCAGAATAGGAAAACTAATGGCACATACGTTGTTTTTAAACTGACTGTGAGCCAAAAAGTGCAGTTCCGAATTGCAAAATGTAGTCCATATAATATCTAAAACTAATGAGAAAATAATTAACTATTGTATCATCAAAAACAAATCCTTCTATATCAGCGAGAGGTTTCCCTATAGAATATTCCGCCAGCGCTGAGATAGCGTTTAATGTGGTACAAAAGAGGATCTCTTTTAAAGGAAGAAGGATATGAGCGTATGAGCGCTGAAAAAAGTATAGTGTGTCATATTTTCACAAAGTAGCATGGTTTGGAATGGTCCTGCGCAAAGAAAGACGAATGATATAAGTTGCCGATGCTGATGATACTTCCACACCGGATTAATTGCCTTCGAACAGAAGACACTTAGAAACAAGGTTGCCAGATTGAGGACTAAAAAGTGGATATTTTACATGGGCTGAAATTGGGAAAAATTGCTGAAACTTTAGCTCTATCCGACAACAATATTCGGAACGTTCTTTCTAAATATGATGGATGGATGGTGCAGATTTTTGTTTAAATTGTAATGAGGAGGATAACAATATTTTCCAAAATATGCATTGCTACTCACTAGAAGACCGAATTTATTTGTTTTATTATTCCTCATTTAAGGAATATAACGATAAAAATTACTGGATGAAAATTACACTTTCGCTAATTTGACATTCAACGTTTTGTTTTTAAAAAGAAAAGAAAAAACGGACTGGTCTTCATTGAATAGTACATTTGCGACCCACTGCCGTCCTCCTGGTAGTACAAGAGTCAAGAACACAATGCTTAGCTAATATTAATACATTTTTCAAAATGTTTCACGTATATCATATACATGAAGTAAGATATCATCTAATAATGGCGCAAGCTCATACGGATGCAGTAAAAACAATGTACCTAATATTTTAGACGTTTCGACGCAGTCAAAAAATCATCGTTAATAATCAGGCAGAAGAACACTGCATTTCAACGGTGAAGAATTCCCACTCGCAATTTATGTTTTCACCAGATAACTGTTGGGCATTTCTAACTGAAATTATACACCGTTTTTTGTTCTAATCACATGCAGGCAAGAATTAGTGAAATTTTGGACGAATTTTTGCTGAGTAGTTCACTAATTGTAAAAATAATGAATTGTTTAAGTCGATTTTGTAACTTTGAAAGATGATATACGTTTCTTCGTCCAAGGAGTGACGAACTACATGCAAAGGAAAGCTAAATTCAGGAATTAATTCACGCGAAATCGAACTCTGAATTCTGTCAAACCGTAAGTGGCAGACAATGCAAAGCATATTTAGAAAGCGGCCATTATCCATGATAAATTATTCTTACTATCTATGAAAATTTAGTTTTTAAGAGCGTATTTAGTGAGCTGAAGTAATCGTCTTTGATTCTTTAATTTCGGAAACTAAATCAAGTAGTTCGTGAAATATCATTAAAAGTATAAGGCGTTCATGTATAGGTAACATATTTTTCGAATAAAAGCGAAATACAAACCCAAAAAATAATGAGAAATAGAGGGTTTTTTTCATTCTTAGCCGAGGAGTCCCCTCGTGTAATAGTTTTTCCCCTTTTACTTTTAAGCGACGCTTAACATGGAGGCCAATTTTAAAGTACAAACGACATAAAACATTACCCTGTAAGTACTAAAAGAAATTGTATTATTTCAGAGAAATGCGTATCACTGTGAGATGAGTGAGGCCACGTTGCTACACGCTATTTTGAAATACGTTTTTGTGACTGGAAAGAGAGGTGAAAAAGAACTAAAGAGGAGGATGGATATAAAACAAACGAAGGTAATAATATCGCTGTGTGTAGGGTTAAAAAAGGTACAATTCCGGTAAAACTCTTTGAAAAGGTCAAAAGTTAATTAAGTGTAAACTTAGAGCAAAGGTTCAAAAAGTGACTTCAAAGTTAATGCGTATCAAATTAATTTCGCGTGCTGCCGGAAAATTAAATTTGTTACGCCGTCAGTTTTCGTCCTTGCAGCATCAGATGACATTAAAAATACGTGCAAATACCCGGAGAATTTTTGCGCATCGCGTGTTGCTGCATCGAAACGCATTCTCTTATTTGGTATTATTCATTTTGATGAAATCTCAAAGTAAAGTTCTGAATTTTAATGTCTTTTGCCCAATAGCAGAAAACAATGCGCAGTTTCAAAATAATTACAATACGAATGTAGGAATTAAGATACAATTTTGTACCATCAGAGCCTTGGACCTCTTTATAGAAGAACAGAGAGTTTGATGTAAAAGTTTATGAAATCCTCCAGTAAATCAGTAATTCTCAATGAATCGTGTAAAGTTAATTTTAAAAGGGAGTGCAATTTTGGAATTCCATGGAAGACTGCATTTTAGGTATACATAGAGCTTCGATTTTTATATGAGTCCCCATCAATGGATTCTCATATTATAACTTGCAATACATATTCTTATATCTGAAAAACTCGTGTCTGTATGTTCTTCTATGTTGAGCGGGACGGTTGGTTGGTTAATAAATTTATTTGAAGGTGCCTTAACTAAAAAAAAGTCGTTAACAATAAAGAGAGATTAATACTGCGAAAAGATAATCATAACTCAAAATAAAAGAGGGAGAAAATGTCACAGAAACAAGACGAGGAAAACATGAAATTTGCAAAAAATAAACAAAGACAACGAGGAAAGAATAAAGTAAATTTGGAGATTACTTTGTTTTAAGATGGGAGGAATTTTGTGAAACTTTTTCGTAAGTATGATATTACTATCAGCAAGAGGGGGAAAATTGTGGATGTTAACTGTCGGTAATCGGCGCAGAATATTAAAACTAGATTAGACTTTAGCAAGATTAGACTGAGAGTGGGACGTCTATAAAATGTTATGCACTAACTTTTGTGTTCAAAAACCATTGTTGGCAAGACAATGAAATTGAGTGAGCTAATTAGTCGCTATCAATGAACTCAAATAAAACATTTTCAGGGTACAAAGTAGCTTTGAGTTCAGCTTCCCCTCCCACTCCCTCAGATGAACCCGGTCCATTTAAAGGAATGATAATAACAAAATTATTTGTTTCTAGGATTATTATTTTAATGCAACTAAAATGAAAACTGTTTAAAGCCTCACACTTTTCTATAATTTTGAAGGCGCTAAAGTTGAATGATGTTGCATTGCTTTTTATTCCTTTTGGATTATCATCTTGATTAGAACAAAATTACCTATTAAAAACAGGATTTAAAAAATAGTCAACCGGAAATATATAAATCCCAAAAATTAAAATTAGAGATTCGGAAGTAAATTCCAACACGTTTCTGAGCAAAATTGATAGGAGAAAACGTTCAGTTGAAGCAAATGCATTGGATAAAAATGCTAAACTAGCACTCCCCCTTTCGACAGACCTCCACCAGTTTTGTCGATTTCTATCAGTATAGGATCTAGATAAAATATTTACAATCCACTTGCTTGGGTTGAAGTGGATTGTGAATTTTTTATCTAGGTCTTAATCACAAAAACGATGGCAAACAGTGATAGTCTGTAGGTGCGAGACATTTTTGCAACGTTTTTCCAATTCATCTGCTTCGGTTAAATACCTTCCCACTCAAACTCTCCACTGAAACGAATTAGAGTTTAATATTTGCATTTTTAATTCTTTTTTATTAATTTGTGTCAATTATAAAAATGTAAGAGGGTGGATTTTGTATGCATGCGCCAATCACATATTCTCCTATGTATATTTATTGCATATCCGTTCATTACCAGGAAAAGTCTTGTATAACATGAAAAAACGAGAGGCCTACATTTTAAAGAAAAGATCTGAATAAAATTTAATATAAGATGAATGCAAATTGAATTCACGCCTCAAATCAATCCTTCTCCTTGCGATGATTGAGAGTTAATGGTGGTTTTAGGGAAGAGAATACAGTAGCATGCCCTCTTTACCCTTTGGACCGAAGGGAGGAAAGACATGGGGAAGAAAGGACAAGGGAGGAAGGAGGGAAGGAAAGATAGAAGGAGCCTTGTAAGTACATGAAGGAGGTGCAAAGTACCAACAGAGAAACTAGGTCATAACTTCAGTATTTCCCACGCTCGACCAGAAAATTAATATAATCACCAGCAGCTGGTTTTATTGTGTAGTTCTTTGACGGTGGACTTTACCTAATCCAGAATGACCTTATAAAAATGCATTGATCAGTCATCGCGTGAAATACTTCAGTTTTTACCATCCGATCCATTTCTAAAATTGAAATCCAACTTTACTTAAAATTTGTATTCTCTTTTACTTTTCTAATCTCTCTACTTCTGTTTTCTTGTTTCTACTTTTAATTTCTTAGGGCTCATTTTGGGAAAGATTTTGAATGAGCCTCAAATCTCCCCTCCCCCTTCCGTTGAGGGGTGGAGGGAGGTATCCCCTACAGCATTATATATTACTGCTATACCCCCCTCCCCTTCCGACCTCTTTAAGGATCCATCTACAACAGGAAGCTCAATATCCAAAGAATCGCAGTATTAGCCTAGCCGCACACACACACACATACACCCTTGCGAATAACGCACGCAAACTCACACACACGCAAGAGAGGAAAATCATATTTACCGGTGCCGGAGAGTGAGCAGGTCCAGCGCGCGGCACACAGAAGCGACTGAGCGACCCGGCCGGGGGGTGAGCTTTCGGCGGGGGTTGCAACTTTGTGAGCGCGGGCGGCGCGCCAGGATTGGCCGGCCGACCGAAAGCTACTGTAGCGCGAGGCCCAATCGGAGACAGCGGCACGCCCCGAGAACTTTGATTTGGAGCCGGGTCCGCCGCTCCAGGCTCCCGAGGCGGAGTCGTGACGTCACGGGAAAAGCGAAAACCCCTCGAGTCGCGCGGGGGTTGCATTGGGGTTGCGCGGTTTTTCCTCGGCAGATTTTCCCGGGCTTCGCGAACGTCTACCAGAGCGGCGCTGCACAGTGGAACGAGATATTGCGAAAAGCCGACCATGAAATTTTTGAATACAATTGCAAATTTCGATGTTCGTTTCGTCATAACATAAAGTTTTAGGGGTGTCTGAGGCATTGCTAGTATCGTGACGAATGAACCTGGATAAAATGGTAAATTACTAAATACATCTACTTTCATTACCACTTAAAAACTTTGAAGTGCTAGCCTGAAAATTTGAGTTTCTTTAACTTTAGGTACTCTTTTCTCCAAAATTATCTGACCAAGAAAGTTCAGTCTTGTGTGAAAATTTCGAATTTTCGAGCTTTACAAGGCTAACCTGTTTACAATTTTGAAATATAATCGGGGCTTCTGTTTAAATTATTAAATGAGCTGGGGGTAAAAATGCAAAATTTTACAGGTCTCCTCAAAACTAAAAAAAATCCAAAGATTTCAACAATTAAAAAAAGTTGATTGCCTCAACTTTTCTACACATAACAAATATGCACACCAAATTGCAACTTTGTAGGACGAATATTTCTTTAGAAAAGTGTACCTAAAGTTGACTAAAATTACATGGGAAAAGAAACAATAAGCATCGCTTAAAGTAAATTTTTCGTGAAAACTAATGAAACCACTTTTGAACTACCTGTATTAACAAATATGTAGGCATTTAAAATTTCGACATCATGTCTAACTTCTCGTATTGGCTCGCCTCACTGTGCGCCGTTCGAAAATAAAATGGAATCATCCGTCTGAGCCGGGATTCGTCGGTGGAGGGGGTGAAGGGGTTGAGAGCTGTGGGAAATTTGCAGAGCCCCCCAAACGTTGCCGTTTGAGAGGGACTCGAGTAACAGAACCTTATTCCAACCCGCAACTCGGAATTCTCAGCAATTTTATCACGTTGAAACGTGTGATTTCTATTGAATTTTATTGAAGGGGGGTTATTTTTCTCTATCTCAACTGTGACCGCCCATGAAAAAAGAAGCTTAAGACCTGAAAAACTCGTGACGAGGTGTCGGTGCATTTTTCTTTCTATTTTCAGTAGTTTTATCACGTTGGAACATGCGATTTATTTTTTGAATTTCATTTATATTTTCTCAATAATTGTGACTGCCTATAGGAAAAGGTGTCATTACTAGAAAATTTGGAATTGAAGCTATCGTAATCTTTCCATAGTGAAATGTTTCACGAACATTTATGCATGGAAAGCACCTAAGAATCTTAAAAAAAACCGTAGTTCGATGGTAAAACTGCAGAAATGCGAGCGAATGCGTGTCTCGGTTTGCGGCGTTGCAACATTTCTGTTATACTTTGTTTTCTACATGGAAAACTATGGATACTTTACTTTCTACATGGGAAACTATTGATACTTTATTTTCTACATGGAAAACTATTGATCACCATATCTTGAAAACTCCGGTGAGGTTTCTTTTCTATGTTAAGAATATTCTGTGAAAATTTCAAGGCACACTTCGCGTTCGGTCTCCTTTCAAAAAATAAAATAAGAGCGGAGAGAAACACAACAACCGAGTTACGCGTTTTTGGGGTTTCACCGTCAAGTTGTGACGGTAAAAACGGTCCAATTTTAAAAATGAGGTTTTTTGAAGACATTGATTATAATTTCGGTCGGTAATACTTGGTAGGTACTAAAAATTGGGTTTCGTTAAAAGAACCTGGTATATCTACATGGAGGCTTCTAACGAGGAGTCTATCTATTTGGTTGATGAGTTATTTGGTTCTTCAGTTGTAAGCGGCCGTCCATAAAATACGTAAAGCTGTTGATCGAATTTTTCGACCCCCATTTTCTCGTGACGCTTTCAGAACGGAGGTCATTTCCCTTTAACACGTAAAAAGAAAATGGCGTAACGCTTTTCACGATCCCTCCCCCAGAGCGTTACGTATTTTATGAACGACCCCTCCGGAGGTAAAATTTGGGATAATTTCACACGAGAGGCCCTGCACCGTGGAAAATTAAATCTAAAGTAGCCTCGATGGTTCGCTTTGAGCAGATCAGACGTTTTTATTTTGACTTTTTTGCTGATGTGACCGTATTGCTTAACTGAATATAAGTGGCAATTATGTCGTAAATACAGGATCTGCAAGAGTATCTTCAAAATACCAAAATGACCATTGAGTCAAGTGGAGCTTTGGGTGGTTTTTGTGATTTCTCTCCATTTACCAGCCTGAGCCCGGGTGTGGCCTTTTTTAATTATACGTGCGTCCGTATCAGTTCTTCAACCCAAGCACGCGAAAATCGCCTCTCTGCGAAATGTTGCCTCTATGTGCCAGGGTCCTTCTTCTAATAGACAGAACAAGTTTCCCATTTTTCTGTACTGCACGTAAACATAGAATCTTCATGTAGAAAATAGCGTCTTGGAAAAATGTCGCCACTTCACCAACTTCAAACTTCATGAACAAAAGTTTGAAGTCCCATCTGCAATCACCGAAAGTTTGGCGCCTTTTCATCGTGTGTGCATGTGGGTCTGTGGCATCGTAGAAACTATTTCCTTTTTTCTGTTTTGCACGTGTCTCATGTTTTCGGATCGAGGAAATCCTGATGAATTTATAACTTGAAGTCCCTCGTTATTTGCTCTTGAAAAATGACGGTATATTAATTACGATCTTCGCCCAAGAAAAACGGGATTTCGATCCAAAAACAAAACGAAGGGGAAACAGAAACAATAAAATGTAGGAAACGTTCATATTATACTTTTTTTAGAATCCATCGAGAGGCCACACACGCCTTTAGCCTTAGCCTATATGGTGATCTTGAAAATATAAATATTATCATGATCATGATTATTGTAACGGTTCTGGGTCAGTTTATAATTGAACTGAAATCATTACTATAATTTCCTAGGATCCTATATTTTTCCATATTTTCCTAAGATCCCATGTTGCTAATTCGAAATCAAAGAGTTAATTTCGCATTCATTGTCATAGAAAAAGAGCCTGGACATGTGATGAATTCACGTAACAAATTCAAAATTGTAAATGCATAGAGCAATATTTTAAGAAAAATTTATTGGAACGTTCTTTAGAACTGGTGATATTTTTCTTTTTAATTTTCAATACAAACCGCTTTTGAAAACTCATGGTACCTTTTGGACGTGAAATTGCAAAAAAAGCGCATCTCAGTTTCCAACATTGAATTTTCCTCTGTATATGAGGAATGTTTTGTGAAAATTGGGAGCAACAGCGTTGTTTTGTCCTGCTCCTTTGAAAAAATGAATGGAGGTGGAGATTTTGAAAAATCGTAAACAAGGTTCGCAGTTTCGCCATTTCGCCGTCGATAGATGACTCACGAAAGCAGCGTGTTGTTGATCTATTACAGTTAAAGATTGTCTGAAGATCCACTCCAGATTTACGAACCAATAAAGTATTAAGGAACACAAGTAAATTGCATTCGATTCTGGATATATTTCCACGTCTGTTCCAACTTGGAACCATTTCGTGCGGGACGCCAGAAAAATAGATCGCTGTGCGCGGCGCTACTTGCTTCAGCTCGAAGACGCGCGACTTTTAGTTCGCCGCGTGACAGGAATTTTAAATTTCTATTCAGCGACTCCCGAGCCAATTTTGAATCATAAGGAGTACCTTCACTCCCGAGCGATCTTTATTCAATCAACTCAAATCAATCAAAAGATACGCTCGCAAGGAAGCAGTAAGTAACTTATTTCGTTACACTTATTCCAATATGCAACTCAAATCATACAACTAGGGAGAAAAATGGTAATGCGTCAATTCAATGGTAATAAACACCATGGTTAACACTTCAATCGGTAAATCATGTTGGTTGCCTCATATCTGCGGTGAAACTACCAATCCTTGTATCTCGGTTTGTGACGTTGCATGACCATCTGTCATACTTTGTTTATTAAATGAAAAACTAATCAAATTCAATTTTTGAAGACCTCGGTGATTTTTTCTCTCCGTGCGAAGACATTTCTGTGAAAACTTCAATAAATGATATTGATTAGTCGTAGGAGTTGTACGAGTAGTATTGTAGTCAGGCCGGATTAAGGGGATGGCCACATGGGCCGCGGCCCATGACGGCAAATCTAGGGGGCGGCAAATTTTGAAATTTTTTTAAATGTAGGTATAAAAAAAATTGAATTGAGAGAAAAAATTACAAACGAGAAAAGGCAACAAAATCTCTAATTTCCTGAGAGTATAGTAATTTCTAATGTTGTCGTCTTTCAGTGTTACAAGAGACAGCACCTTTCATTAGTCGAGTTAAGAGAGAAACCAAACACGCAATTTGGCCTGGAACGGCGCGACTTAGAGAGAAATGATGACGAGGACTTGAGATGTAAAGGAGAAGCCCTCGGCGCGGCGGTCGGCATGTAACACATATTAGCGCCTACAAGACTGCACGAATACTTCGCGCATTGCATCAAACACAGTGCGGTTATTGTGGTCAGCCTGAAACGGATAGCGCCTACAAGAATGCATGAATACTTCACTCATTGCGCCAAAGACAGTGCGGTCAGCGTGAAATGCATAGCGCCTACAAGACTGCATGAATACTTCACGCATTGCGCCAAACACAGCAGTCTGCGCGGCGCGGCGGCGGCGGAAGTTAAGATCATTAAACTACATTTATGTTTGTTCTTTCATAACTTTTTCGCTCATTTCTTATGAATGGAAGGCCTTGTCCACACAGAGATAGGTTTACGGAACTTAACTTTCGCGCGAAGTTCCGTGAACTTTTGCTAGTAGTGTTGACAGGGCTTTCCCAAAAAATGTGACCAACACAAGTAAACGCGTCTTCTACGTTCACTTGATGATTTTTAATGATG